AATGTAAATTCACAACAAAATGCACCYGTAAGTACCCAGGTTATTTATTCTACAGCTACAAAAACATGAAATCTATTGATCACGCTAACATCTGGCTGCAGAAAAGCCCTGAAACTGCCTGGCTGTGCACACACTCATTTGTTCTGATCTCAGGTCGCCGAGTCATGCTTCCTGGTATTCGTTTCATTTCTAATAGTTCTTTTAATTGTCAGACTCAGGTTGATTACTAGATTTAAAGAAGATGGCTTTTGCTTTGAATGATCTTGGGTCCAAAATGGAATTTTTAATTCCACCTAATCAGTCATCAGAGCAACGGTGAGCCACGAGAAGCTCAGGAAAAATGCACAAAAGCAATAAGCTAATGTTTAATCTATAACAAAATCATGAGCTAAGGTGTATTTCTTGTGCAAAAACCTCATGTTTATGTAAAAAAATCATCTAAGTCAGGATCTTCTTGTCTAACTAAAGGTAGAAAAGATGTTTCTTTCATGAGGCTTTGATTTCTTAAATGTGCTTTTAAGACAAGAATAAAACTTGCAYAAATAAATTGTTGGTTTGAATCACTGCTCCTATTATCACATAAAATCAATATATAATGTGATAACAACATGTTGGACACCTCAGTGAGTTCATCCCACAGCAGGTGCCCTGAAAGCTGCAGGAAGTTCGGTCTCAGCAGCAAGAACCAACAACACTGACAGAACCTGAGTGTTCGCCTCCTCCCGCCTCACATCCACCATGATTACAGGAATCCTTCGGCTCAGTRTCAGCGCCTGCTCTCGCAAAGCTCAATGAATTTTTCAAGGACTTGGATTTCTCACATGAAAAGATTATTTTTTAAATTTTGTATTCTTTTCCCCGCCTCAAGCGAACCAGGTAGCATTGCTTTGTGAGCTCTTTATTAAAACCAAGTTCTCTTTTTCTTCTCTCATAAACATCCAATGTGTGTTAGAAAAGGCCTCTGAAAAGGCAGAATAAACCTGATCCAGCACACAGGAACTGACTCGGTTTTCTTTTAATTATTGTGCTGTGTTGTTGACTTGGTGACATCTTTTGAATCAAAAAGTAAACAGGAATGAATGACACCTCAAAKGAACTGAAACTAAAAAGACTTGGTTTATTGGTTAGACCTTGGGAATAACTAGGAGCTCTTGTATTTGATGCATATTTGCCCACCATCTTTTGATGAAAAAAGGAGAGAGGTATAGCATTTTGGGTAGATGTTATGAGCTATATCCATGTTTGTACATTAAAAGGGCAATATCATGTAAAATCAACTTTTTTGAGTTTTATTCACGTTAKAATRTTATACTCTCATAAAAAAAACATGCCCAAAGCCTTGCTCTGACTCATTCATGCATGTTTGAGAAATCCTGCAGTGATTTTAGGCAGCCATGCTGAGGAGCAAAACGACAGGTGGGGACCAGAAACGCCCCTGCGACGTGTCTTTAAGCCGAACTTCCTCACCACGGAGCACACCTCCCCACCCCACACCCCCCACACCCCGTCCATGACTCCTGCAGGCTCTCGGCAGTAACAGAGCGACCGCCGTACTGAAATGGGCGGGACAGAAGCGGAAGGTGGTTCTTAAAGAGAGAGGGCAATTTCAAGGCGTTTAGAAGAGGAAGTGACGAGAAGATAAGTTTATTTTCTATTTAAACATAAAAACAGCATTTTAATAACAACTAAAGGTGACATAGATACTTTATTATGGTATAGTATTTAAATGTATGCCTGAGAAACACATGATATTGGCCCTTTAAAGGGATAATTTGTCTATTAGAAGTGACATCTGATGGTTCTCTGTAGTATTTGATCAGCTGGGACACAGAGGTTCTCCTACAGGAGTCGAGCTAATGACTAACCAGACTGGGGCCTCTTTCACAAAATACAAAGGAAAAACCCTCGTTTGTTATATTAATTGTTATATTGGCTAAAATAAAAACCTTTACACTTCTGCACACTCACAGTTATGCGTATCTGTCTTGCACCATTTGTTGTTCTGCGTGTCTGCTCCGTTTACGCCTTTCGTTCTTCATTTCGCTTCGTTTTTGTCTCTTTCTGGGATGAGACCCAGGCTCCTCCACTTCCTGGCAGTGCAGACGGTCCTGATGGACTCAAACAGATGGCTAAATTACGGTTACACCGACCAAAACCAACCTTTTTGCAGCAACGGAAAACAAACCCAGTTCATTAGGACCGAAGGTTAGAAAATGTGCCCGCTTTCGTCTGGCTGTTAAAAATCATTTGTGGAAATTATGCAAAGTTTTCTGGCCTTCATGCAAACGGTGCAAACTGCAGTATTATTGGAACCAAATAACGGAGTGTGCAATGAAAAGCAAGATTTTATATCTAATATTTTGAAGCATTTTCCCCTAAAAAACTCAACCACTCACCATCAATCATTTATATTAAAAAAATCTTGTTTTGAAAGGCTTCAGGCCTGTGTTCAGCCATGATCTGCAGCCCAGTTGCGTGTTCCTCCCCTTGGAAGCTGCACGTCCAGCTAAGTATCACTCAAACTAACCTTAGCGGCTTCGCTGTTTGCCTGCACGCGGGCCTCGCTGCGGGATGCTGAGGCACCTGAGCCAGAAGGCAGAAAGATGCAGGCAATTAATGCTGGCAGGGCAGAGCTGATGGAAGACAAACAAAGTAGCCATCCAGTGGATGCTGGAGGAAGCAGAACACCATCTGCTGTGGAAACAACTTTGCTGCTGCATGYTTGTTGGTATCAATAAGATATGAGGAGGGAAGGAGAAACGAGACATGGATGATTTAAAAAAAAAAAAAAGCACAATTATTTCCTGGAGTCAGGCAGGAAAAATAAATAAATAAAAACGACAAAGAATTTCCAAAAATGATCTTCCTATAAAAACTTATTTGAAAGTGATCTGTTAAAATGTTGGTGTTAATTTTATGCTTATTAGTCATTACAGTAACAAGGCTGAGGAAGTTTTCAAACATAAAAGCTGAACACATGGCGCTCTCTGGTGGTCAACATGAGCATTACTGTCAGAGGTGTGCAGCAGAATTGAAGTACAGATAAAAAAAAATGAGTACTGTGTTTGAGAATTAGTAGTTTATTCGAGTAGCATTTATTTTTTACTTTTGACTTTGACTTCACAACATTTCTCAAAATAAATAAATAAAAACATAAATAAATCAAAAAAATATTCTAAACAAAAAGGCTTATGATACAAGTTACTGAAAGTATTTTCTGGTTCAACTTGCTAACAGAGCATCACCGGTTCGAATCCCGGCAAGGCACTTAACCCAATGTCCCCATGTATAAATCTGTTGGTGTGATTGTGGTGGTCTGGTGGGAYCATAGATGAAATTGTAAAGAGTCTTTAGCATCCATGACGAAATGATTGCATTATTATTTTATATCCAGTGTTACTGATCTGTCCAAAATAGCAGAAAATTTTCCKAATTATTCTCGACTACTCAAGTGGAATGCATTGTTAAAAAGTACCCAAGTATTTTTGAAAAGCACATACACTCACCGGCCACTTTATTAGGTACATCTATCCTACTGCTTATTAATGCACATGTGGAATCAGCTAATCACATGGCAGCAACTCACCAAGATGATCTGCTGCATTTAAATCAGCATCAGAATGAGGAAGAAAGGTGATTTAAGTGATATCAAAATGGASCAGACCCTCTGAAGAATATTTCCAGTACCTTATTGAATCTATGCCATGAAGGATTAAGGCAGTTCTGAAGGCAAAAATGGGTCCAACCCAGTACTAGCAAGGTGTACCTAATAAAGTGGCCGGTGAGTGTACACCAGTATTTGAACTTAATAATTTGACAGAGGTAAATTTGCTTTTATTGGAGTACTATTTGACCAGTAAGGCCACTCAAGTAAGGAAACTGAGTACTTTGCCCACCACTTATTACCTCGTTTTATAAACAAGCTTCAGAACATCCTTCAGTAAAACAGGTCTTGGCTGCAGAAAACTAACAGATGTTTCTAATAAGTTTAATTGTGTTCAGTTGTTTACACCTGCTTCTTGAGTTCTGTGACAACATGGGGGAAAAATGTTGTAAAATCTTCCTGAGAGGAACTGAAAAACACCCAAGAAGTATTTAATTTATTTTTTTTTATTTCAAAGAGAATACTGAGCATTACCATCTCAATCCCAGACTTGTCTCTACATATAATACAGATCTCATTTATTACAAACAGAATGCATGTTGCCACAAATACATGGTTGCAACAACTTTTCTAGTTCAGTTACTACAGTTTGATAAGTGGCACATCAATACAAAGATGTTTTTTTTTATTAATAAAAGGCAGCTTTTTTCCTTTCAGTCTCTCACACACAAACACACCCTCACAGATTCAGAAAAAAAACAAAAAAACATTTATAGTAAGACAAACAGGTACGATTTGGTCCCAGACAACCAGAGGGCAGCCACTGCTGACACAGAACCAAGAAATATCCAGTGCCAGCTTGAATGATCCTTGTCAAAACTACCATTTAAAAGGTTAATCAGTTTTAGGGTCTTTTTTTGTTTTGTTTTTGTAGATTTAAAAAATATGTAAAAAAAGACAAAAAACTAATTGTGTATCAATTTTTGACAAGTCAGTCTGTGCTAAACTATATGAGATATTGGAATAAACAAATTACAAATGCTTTTTTTTTGCAACTTTAATTTTAAAATATTCTACTGAATATTCTTCCTCAACAAACTGAGTTAAAAGGTTCAAATTAAAAAGAAAAGAAAGCTAAAAAGATAAAATAACAATAACTCCCTAGAGCTTTAAAACCCACAACCACAGGATGTTGGAGTAAACATAAAGACAATAACAGTATATTACATATTTAAAGTGTGAAGTTAAAAGATTAACAATTGCACAGAACTGCTGGCTAAAATATTTAGAGAATAACAAAAAAATGGCACATTTATAAACATTTAAACATAATTGTACATTTGCTTTTCTGAATATTTTTACAAAATAACAGCTTTCGTTTAAAAAAAGTTTAAGAAAGAAAAAAAAACTCATAAAAAATAAAAGAATAACAACAACCAAGCTGTGCACATTATGTTTTTTTTTAAAACAAACCCTTACTCTTCTTCAGATTCTGCTGCTTCCAGTTTGGCATGGAGTTGAATTCAACTCGACTCATCTCAAAAAGTGTCTATAAAATAAAGAGAAGATATATGTGTCACAGTAAAGCTTTTATGTGTTTTTTACTGTGGACCAGGTGAGTGTGTGTTACCTTAAAGTCCTCATCAGACAGGTAGTCCTCCAGGCGCAGAGGGTCCACTCCCTCTGGCAGGGGCTTCCTGCTCAGCTCCTCGATGGAGTACTGCTGCTTACTGAGTTTGGACAGAGCGTCCTTCACCAGGATCACCTTGTTCTTTGAGCTCCCAGGCTACAAACACATTTCACAATCATTTAACTACAATCTACTTTTTATGGCTCCTGGATTAGAGAACTTAACATTCCATGTGAAACAAAAATATATATATATGTGTATTAAAAAAATGGAATAGTCACATTTGAGGTGATGCTGGTGTCCTTCTCCCAGTATGGGAAGATGTTTGTGAACGTCAGCGGCTCAAAGCCTGCGAGGACAAGGTAGGCCAGAGGGGGGCGCCGGGGATTCTTTTCTGTACATCAGCAATTGGTAAAAATAGGTTGTAACTCAAAAGAACAAAACCTTTCAAATAGAAAGCAAGTATTGATTTATGTGACAAGAGAAACTAAAACATAAATAATGTAATAACTGCAGAGAACAACATGATGAGTCAGGGAAAACATCCTGAACCTGAACTTTTTTATTTTGTGCTGAGCAAAGGATTACCTGTGATATATTATTTAAATATCACCCTTTTAAATTTAACACTACGATAAAATCACCCATCCTTTCAAGCTTTATCACAGAGTATTAACGTGCACATTTTGAATTTTTTTTTTTTATTTAAGAACTTTCTTGTAGCTAAAATTAATTGAAGATAAAAAAAATCCTCATGGCTGATAATAAAACAGACAAACTGGGTGAACAAAATCAGCAAATGTGTGTAAAAAGTGTCATTTAATTTTCATATTTAATCATTAAATGCATTAGTTTTCATTAATTCTGGTTCCAAACATAATTGACCTGTTTTTATTTGTAGATTAATACAGTATATATTTAGCTGATATTTATGATGAGCAAAGGGAACACTGTGAGGGTTTTGAAGGAAAAAGAATAAGTTAAACAGAGACACAACTTTGCTACACTTTTGTTTAACAAATATACTGTAACTCTTTTAGTGTTAATATTAACTAAAGCTGCAGAAACTGACAGTTACTGTGACAGGATGCGGTCCTGCGCCGCGCTGGCTAATCAAATTTTGGCACACCTGGTTAATTTTCTCTCAGTAAACACGCACCTGTTGGTCGGAAATTGTTGATCGGTTTACTGTTTTAAAAGTCAGACATCTTTCTGCATGCTCCTCCCTTCTTCACAGGGACGTTAGCTAACTTTAGCTAACTTTAGCATCCACCTGCGCGGCTCGCCTCTCTCAGGTGGAGGAATCAGTAAACATGCTCCTGCTGATTTTTCTTCTCGGACAGCTGATTTTTAAGAATTTATCAGCTTCTGTATTGTTTCCATTTTTTTTATTCAAACAACCAATATCCAAGTCCCGCCCCCTCCTGATTTCTGATTGGCTAGTAGGTCTATCTAGTGTGTTTAAAGCCTCTGTCAAGTCCAGAGAAATGTCTGTCATATCTCTGGCTGGGCGAGCCTAATTTATTTTATTTTATTTTTTTTTTCGGAGATAAGCCGTAATCCTATCAGCCCTGCATAGTTTCTGAAACTTTTAATCAAACTCTGGCTCAAGGCAATCCCCTCAATGTGAGCCTCATTTCAGCACACACAGCCCTCCTCTGTGACCTCTGACCTTTGCAGTACTGCAGCACGGTCTCCATGGCACACTTCCTCTCGTTGTCCCAGCGCATCTTTGCAGATCCGGTGGACTGTGTGTCTTCAGGCTGCCAGCCCTGCCACAGATACACCTCCATGCGGTTGTCCAGCAAAAACAAGGCTGAAGAAGAAACAAGAGCATGAAAAACGCACTACATTTCATCCAGTCGAAACTGATGACGTTCTATACTGAAGCTGCTGGAACTCAGATACCAGGGTTCCTACAGTTTAAAGCAAATTAAATTTAAAACATTTTAAGACTTTTTAATACCAAGAGAAAAGTTCTTAGCAGTCAGTTTTAAACTTAATTTAATTTCAGGAAATCCTCTAACAACCCAAAATTTGGAATTTTAGGACCCACAGTGGGGTCTTAACCCCAGTTTGCTGTAGATGAAACCTTAAAATGTCTGTGATGT